TGTAATTAGTAATGGAATATGTGTAGTAGATGTCAGAAGGGCTGGCAGATGGAGGTCAGTTAAGATGCTCTTCCATGTCCTGGAGAAGAACAAGAGTCCTATCACTTAAACCACTCATGTTTAGCTTCAAGTTTTCAGAGTTGTATGGGAAGAGAGATAAGTACAAAGCAAATGGCAGGTTTCATCTCCTAGATGTCAGTATTTGAACATTAATTTTGGTGACCCTTTGCTTTATGTTACCCAAATGTAGCAAGTTATGCTCTCAATTGTTTTTTGCTCTTTTAATTTTTCAGTTAAATTTTTTATGCCATAATTTAAATAATTTAATATAGTGTACAAGATCCATTTTTCTGAGGAAAATGCCATGAAAAGTGGCCTTTATTGCCAAGATAGTATAGACTGGAATCATACTGCTGATGAAAGATAGGGAATAGCAGCCTACCATAAAAAGAAAATGTTTTCAAAGAGGTGGAGACCTGACCCCAAATTTCAGCTCCTTGATGTTCCCCCTTTTTAAATGTCTTGATCCTCACCTGTTTCTTAACAGGTTCAATCCACTGCTGGAAAATGCAGCCTAAACTAGGTGGTTTTCTCTAAGAAGCAGAATGATACTACCTAGGCACCAAAACCCCCATTCAAATTAAATGTTAAATTTTGTTTTAAAGAGTAACAGTACATAATAAGACTAAAATACAAAAGTAGGAATGGAAGGGGTAGGAACTACCTTAGTAATGCTAAGGAAACAAGGATAAGGTGTAGCAGGAGTCTGGTTAAAAGGGGTCCTGGCTGGCTGATTTTAACGACTTGGGAAAATGGTTGAATTGGTCAAGAACATGAAGAAATGTCAGCCCCTGCAGCAGGGCAATTGCTCTAATCACATAAAACTCAAGGAAGTAGCCACTACCTGAAACGTCAAAAGGGGAAATCTGAATAGGAAGGCCAGGAATATAGCAGTGTGCTACTGCTAGTGCCTGTGATCAGGTGAGTGCCAATATTAAGAGAGAAAGAAAGCCTTCAAACTTGGAATAAATCCTATGAAATCAATGGAGAAATGGGAAATGGAGCAAAGAAGACTTGCCACCAAGTACACCAGAAGTTCTGAGCTAAGCAAGAGGGGAATAAAAGGCATAAAATCTCAAAAGGAACATGAGGGCCTCCAGTAGCTGTCCTACAGGCTAAGCTGTTTCAATCTTAATCAGTTTATCAATATTATAATGACAGGATTTTTAAATATTTGAGATAGAAGAGAGAATACTGTCATACTGTAGCAGTTTTGTAATAGGAGATACGGAGTTGAAGGTATGTGCATCAGTTTTTCCTGCTGAATTTAATTCTCAGTGTTTTCTTGAGGGATTGCTGCAAAACAACTGTTTAGTAGGTGAGAATAATACACACAAACTATTGGAAAAAATAATCTTATCTGAAAACAAGCACAGACAGCATGGTCTTAGGCGCATGGTGTGATTCTTGGGGTTGTCCTATGTGGGGCCAGGAGCTGGGATCTGAAAACAAGCACAGACAGCATGGTCTTAGGCACATGGTGTGATTCTTGGGGTTGTCCTGTGTGGGGCCAGGAGCTGGACTCTATAATCCTAGTGGGTCCCTTCCAACTCAGGATGTTTTATGCCATATAGGAGATCAAAGCATCCTGATACATTAGCATCCTTGAGGACCATAAGTCCTCTGTCAGCTCTCATTCTTTTCTCTGTAGAGGAGTAAAATACCTTTTTAGTCATAATTAATTCTGAGTTCTTATTCCTTTCAGATTACTCCTGGAAAAACAAAGCTGCTCGTCCTCCATTACCAGGTCCTACTTTCAATGCAAAAAACATGAGTGTCTTTACTCGCCCCACAACAATTCAGCGAGTACATGGGAGAACAGACTGGGTGGCCAAATATGGAGGAAACAGATAGAAAACACCATCCTGTGTGGATATTACATGCTCTGTGTTCAGTTCTCCTGATCTTGAGAACCTAAAAAGCCTATTTGCTCCAGCTTCTCCTAAGACTATGCAACAGTAAAGAAGGAAAGAAGACTTTGTGTTCTATTATTTGTATAGTACATATAACACCATGTAAAATACTGGCTTTAAAGTAGGGTTTAATGAAGTATTGTACAACACTTATTGCCAAAACTGAGACGTAGATTTCACCCGATGTTTTCTATAGAAAGATCTCCTCCTACTCTTTGGAACAACTAGGGTTAGGGTTGTTCATCCAGTGCAACATCTGCTGCTGGGATGTGCTTGAAGCACACAGGCAGCACAAAGAAGGGCTGAAGCAGAGCAGCACCAGGCTTCCAGGTGTTAGGCTGGTTCCTCAGCTTTTCCATCTGGCTTTGTGAAGATTCAGGATTTCAAGGATTTCAGAACTCACTTGTAACTAAGAGTTACTCAGGGTCTGTAAGATATAAATATTCATGTAGCAATGAGGACTGAAACCCTTGTAGTAGGACAGAGGCAATCCACGCATAGATACACAAGGAAGGCCTAGAAATTCTAGCTGTTGAATGATAAAGCAATATTGGAAAATAGCTAAACAAGTACTGAATACTACTTACCAAGCTTACCAATACTATTTACCAAGTGAAGCCTAACAATCAGATTCTGCTGTTTTAATTAACTTATTGCCATTTTTGGTCAAAGATCTGCAGAGATTTATCTCTGTCCTGTCAAGGGAGTGTCACAGTGATCTTTTAAAGAGCCTAAATGACCGTAGTCATTTTAAGGGTGAATTAGCCAAAAATGCCTAAATTATCACTAAACCCATGTTCTTACATGTCTTTATTGGGTGATCAGACTAAACTACAGAGTTTGAATAGGCTGCATGAGGAAGACTGTTGGTCTGTTCTTCAAAGACATTGCTTTCTGTTTTAGATCTTAAAAGCCAACTTAGGTACCTGAAAGCACAGACAAAACTTTAATGATTCAGTATGTCACTGTTTATATGTTCATTCAGTACTTTCCCCAGCTTTTATGCTAACTTTAATATTGCCCAAAGGACTTTGCAATATAGTGTGATTTTTTTATTAGGATCTTGAGCTGGGCTACTTCTGTTAATAACTACATTTAGAATAAATGCTTTAGACTTTATAGTAACATTAAACTTGCCCTTTTAAAGTAAAAACTGAGTATGCTCTTTAAAGATGTAAACTTGTTAATGATGACTTCAAGCATTTTTTTAAAAATAAATTTATTTGTATGGCTTTTATAAATTGATATTAAAATTTAAACTCCTTTTGTTGACCCAACGTGTCACAATATATGGCTTGCGTTAAATTCCTGGAAAGCAATTTAATCTAAAACAGGTGTACCAAAAAGTCAAATATTTTATTAGGAAAATTGCACCTACAGAAAATGCTGCTTTTTTTTAATACTGTCAGAGCTATGCAAGGATAGGGCTGTCTGGTTAGTAATGCATTAGCAAGTTTAATTCAATTGCCACTGGTCTAGGATTAAGTATTTGCCATTCCCTTAGTACTAAGAGATGTCCCTGTGCTACTTAAATGCATCTTAATTTAACTGCAGCACATACCTGTAACTTGTTATGGCAACGAAGGACACCCTCAGACAGTTTGTAACAGCCATAAAAGCTATTATTTTATAATTAAGAAACAAAATTAATTACTCTTCTCTCATACAAGATGCCAATGACAGTTAAAAATCACAGCCTGTTGAGGAATTAACTTATAATGTGCTGATAGCTCACATGTCTGAGTCAGTCACCTTAGAGCAGAAAAATAAACAGCTACTGTTTATGGCACTAAGTATGGTTAGAAGAAACATGCTGTCCTTGTCGCATGCTAATGAACCTTGAAAGGGTTTTGACATAACCAGATCAGTCTTTACTTTTCCACAAGCAAAGCATGACAAGTGTTGAGGAATTCTTTTTGCAAGCAGCAAGAAAAGGCTAACAGGCTTTGTATAGTCATTTAACTCTGGTTCATTGGTACACATTGGACTGCTAGTGCAGAAATGCTTCAAAATATAATTATATGCTAATAAAATTTCAAAGGGATAAAAAGTATGTAAGGCTAAAACTTTTCTCTTGTCCCTTTGTATTACTGCTCTTTATCCTGAACATGAGCATTCTACCACAAGTCCTAAATTACTTCTACCAGCAGTTCTCAATTCCACCTACTGCTTTCCAAAGCTAAGGAAACAGCAGCAAGGGTTCACACTTTGATCTAAAAGTATAAAAGCTTGCCAGTCCAGTTTTTTTGTTTCTTTTGTCTTTATTCTGGTAAAGACAAGTGCAATTCAAATTTACAAGTTACCTTGAGACCAGATTACAATAACGAAACTGCTGGGTCATGGCTGTTCTCAGTTTATTGCAGGAGATGCATTTATGTTTGCATCCTACTCCTATGGAAGAAAACTGCTTCAGCAGCTCAAATTTACAAGTTACCTTGAGACCAGATTACAATAACGAAACTGCTGGGTCATGGCTGTTCTCAGTTTATTGCAGGAGATGCATTTATGTTTGCATCCTATACTCCTACGGAAGCAAACTGCTTCAGCAGTAATATGAAGAGGCAAAAAGCCCACCCATAAAGCAGTTTAGGGAGAAATGTCTTAAATGCTAATGTCTGGCTTAGTAACTTTTTCAGATTAGAATATGGGGACACCTGCCTGCCAGTGCTGGGTCCTGGGCTGGAATTAGGCACTTCAAAGGGTGACATGTTAACAAACCACCTGCTGTCCTGCACACCCCTTATTTCTGTGCAGGGAGGTAGGAAAAATATGTAAATACAGGTGAACCTGAAGCTGAACTCGGGAGGATGACAAATAAGGCCTCTAAGAAGATGCTCTGAGCACAGTTCTCCATGCAGATCTGTTTGTGCTCAAGCCAGCTCTGACCCAAGCTGGCTGGGACCAGGCTGCTGAGACTCCTGCTGGAGCTGTACCCATTCCTGGTCATGTTCCTGCAGATCTGGAACCCTGACTGACCTGGCATCCTGGCTTGACCTCAGCCCTGCCTCATCCCTGTGACTTGCCTGGCAAGCCACCTCCTTGCTGGCAGAGCCTGGCTGTGGCCACTGGCCCAGCTCTGCGTCTCCTGCAAACGCGGCACAAGGTCACTGCCCTGCCTGTTCTGCTGCAACAAGGGAGGAGGGAAGGAAAACCACAGGATGTGACTCGTCTCCTGCAAACGCGGCACAAGGTCACTGCCCTGCCTGTTCTGCTGCAACAAGGGAGGGAAGGAAAACCACAGGATGTGACCCTCCTGCCAAGGCACTACTCTGATACTCAGAGAATTCTGAGCAGCCCCAGAGTCTCACCAATCTAATGGAGCAGCCCTCTTCCTTCCATCTCTCTCAGTACCACGCACCAAAGAAAAAAGGTTAAAGAAATCGAAACTCAGGATCTGTGCAAAAAGGGATCTAAGTTTAATGTGACCAGAAAAGGGATACATAACCATGCATGTGTATCTTCCGGGATATTTCTCTATGGAATGTTTATATTTAGAATGATTTCAGGCATTAAGAGTATCAACTGAAGACAAAGACTAATCAAATAAGCCCTTCGGTCTCTAAACAAACTTTCATACAGTATTTTATTAATCTAAAATCAATTATCCCTTCAGAGAAAAAAAAAAAAACAAACTAAAAAACTTCAATATAATACTTGTCTGAATATGTGGTCTGTATGCTTTTGTGCTCTCCACCTCTCTCTCAGTACAGATTTTTATATTTGCAAGTTACTAGATTCAGGGATAGATTTACACAATTCATGCTCACAAATATATCCTGACATCCTGCAGGAAAGGCACCAAACTAAACTATATCAATCTAGATGAATGATTAGAGACAAAATAAGCTGTGTAGAACACAAAGATTTGCAATAAAAATTTCTTAGTTTATTTAAAATAACATTTTAATAAAGCTGTGCCTACAATTCAGCATTACCTAAATAAAGCATATTTTTGGTTTATTAGTAGTAATCTGTAAAAGTGAAATGAATGACATGCAGCTGAGCTTACAAGTGATTGCAAGGCATGGGTATGCATTTATTGCATTACAGCAGAGCCTTGACAGCTGGCTCTGTTATTGTGTTTTGTGGGACCAGGTTCTAACATGCAGTGCTGGGAGAACAAACTCCCTGACTGACAAACACTGAACAGATAAACTGGCATGGAAAGGGAGATGGAACATCATGAGCACATTTATTGTATTAATTACTAGTGACAAATTGGCAACTCCTCTCCCCTGGTTTTAGAGGTACATGTGATTTTAGAAGGACAAGTCAGATGTACATTTAACCTTCAATCCTGCAAGGGCCAGGAGGTCTTTGCTGACACTAAGCTGCAGGACCAGAAGCTAAACTAATGCCACACTCATCTTGCTTGCTTTCAGTGCAGAAAATGTTAAGACAAATACCATGACAAGGGCTCTCTATGTCAGTCCTTTAAAAACACAACCCACATGCATTAGGATAGGAAAAATACAACGCACAGGTAGCAGTGCCTTTCCCACTTATGTGCAGCACATTTAGGCAGTTGCATTTTTGGGCTTCTCAGTCATGTGTCTTCAAGTCACTTGATGCAGATTTATGGCTTAATAGGTTTTTCCATCATCTGTAATCCAAGCCGGCCAACCATCAGTAAACTGTGGAACAGAATAGTTGTTATAAAAAGAGGGAGTGGAGGCAAAAATCCCATAAAGAACAAGAAGGAAAAAAAGCATTGACATAATTTCTTTTACCTGAACAACACCACCACAAGGTTTCATTTTTCATAAACTGTGGAACAGAATAGTTGTTATAAAAAGAGGGAGTGGAGGCAAAAATCCCATAAAGAACAAGAAGGAAAAAAACATTGGCATAATTTCATTTACCTGAACAACACCACAAGGTTTCATTTTTCGCAGAATTTACCATGTTACATTTTTAAAACAATATAACCCACAAATAAGCTAAATAAAATGTTTATTCCATAACACAGACAAGAAAAAAGGACAGGTGGTTACCTGGCACCGGCAATTATCCCAGGCATCGCCTTTTTGGAGTTGTAAAATCTCATTCCCATAACAGCAGACAAGGTGCCAGATGCCACTGTTGAAAAGAAGCCCAGTCAGAGCCATTTGACACAGAAATGCCACCGCAGCACTGCCACACTTGGACACTGAGCAGCACCAACCAAACAGACCTACACGTACAGACAGGAATGCCTCCCTCTGTGAGCAAACAACTTGATTCTCTTCAGCATCAAAGCTGTCATTACAAGCTTCTCATCAGCTTTGGTGAGCACTCTCCACTGCTCAGCAGAAGCGAGGAGATCTCACCAGGGCTGAGACCATGGTCCGATCACCCACAAACTCTAATCCTCTGAACAGGTCACTAGCTCTCCCTCAACCCTTACTTGCAAAAGAATGATTATTCCCTCAAACACAGGCAAAAACTGCTAGAAAGCTGGGATGGTGACAGTATTCACTATGTAGGAGTGAATTCACTTCCCATTTCTCTGTGGCATTCTGAACTGGAAAGTGGCCGTAAATACTGAAAGTGGAAAGAAAACAACCTCACTTGAAAATATGATTTGAAAACAGAAAGCAATGCAAAGGATCAAACTGAAAGAGCAATTAACATCTTAGACATTACTGCAAATTATTTTATCTCCACATGTAGAAAAGGAATCCCATCAACATTCACATGAAATTTACAGGGCCTTTGTTTCTTGGAAGAAGAAAGGCAGGTGAAAGTGTGGTATACCTTTTTTCCAAAGCCTTTTTCCAAGTTTGTTTGTATCAGACAGGGTAAAAGGTATTCTAGGGATAATCTGTCAAGGTTCTATTTCTGCATTTCTACCCCTGATGTTCTGGAACCAATTTACAGCTCTGCAGGAGCCACAGCTGCACATTGCAAAGAGGGCTGAGGAGGGAGGGATGGACGGATGACCCCTACTAGACTGTGACACATTCAAGAGGTCCATTTGAAAACACTCCATGCACCACATCAGAATATACAAAAGCTGCTCATGCCTCTTCCATGATACTGCCTAAAAACCTGCGCCAGAGATGCACAGCCACTCCCACAGCATGCTGGAGTGGAAGGACAGTTCACAAATGGAAATTATGCTTTACATTGAGCTGCATTTTATGTTTCATTCCTTACTGACAAGGTTGGTCCTCTACAGTGGCTTGATAGAGCCTTTCAGCACATTAGTCCTATTGGTTTAAAATAGTCTTAAATCACTGTAAAGCTAAAGTATCATAGCACTAGTAACACTATGGAGTAGGTACAGAACTAGCAGGATCCTCAGGAAGTCATCTAGGACACCCTAGTGCCTAAAGGCACAATCAGTTCCTGATAGCGGTTTGACCCGACATTACACTCTTGCAGCAAAGGAACTCCCTGAGGTTCACCTGAGTGCTTCATAATACTTATCACAGTGATTTCATCCTTCTCCTTCCCCTGAAGATTTAACTGCAAGCTTAACACCTACCACTCCTTGTAAGCTCTACTGAAAGCAAGCAGAAGAGAACACTGCTTCTTTTCTTTATCATACTGTTTCTTCCAGAGTGTATGATGCATTAGAACATGTACTGCTCCTCTGAGATGCTTGTGCAGACCAGGGTTCCCTAAGGCCACATACCACCTGTCACACTGCTGTCACTATTGCAAAAACAGTGCTTATTCCACCACCATAGGCTAAAATCGCTGCTTCACAACCAAATATTTTCCACGTATGTTTCCTGCACCTAATGCGTTGGTGCAACACATTATCCAACCTGGCAGAGGAGACAGGTATTTCTCACCAGCAGTGGATTCACACAGGACAATGCAGGTCTTCGAGCCAGGTATCGTGCTCTTACACAAATACCTCCTGGCTGTGGGCAGGGCGTCCTGCCACCACTTACAACATTTGTATGGTAACAACGGCACAGGGCAGCAGGAAAAAAAAAAGTCACTGTTCCCACCACTACCAGTAACACTCAGTACTCGGCTGCCGAGCAAACTTACCGAGGGAAAGCCACACATCCTTTGGATCTTTGGACTGCTGGTACGCACCCAGTCCCGCTAAGCCGCCGAACAGAAGGCCGGCAGCTAGAGACGGGACGCTGCCTTGAATAAAAATAAAGCAGTCAGCGGAAGAACACACACCGCGTCAGCCCGCACTTTCCCGTGCTAGTAAATCCACAAAGCCAACCTAACCACAGCATTAGGCTGAGGGGTTTGGGGAGTTTTTCTAACACACTTGGCAGACCCCGGCGAGCACCGCTTCGTTGCACTTGTCTGGCGGCAGCAAGGACTGAGCGGGGCTTGCGGTGTCACCGCGGGCAGCGGCCCCGGAGCGGGGCGGAAGGAGCTGAGCGGGGCTGCCCGCGGGCACGACCGGGACAGCCACGGCCAGCAGCACCCACCTGCCTTGGCGTAGCCCACCACACCGCCCGCCGCCACCAGCGCCGCGTAGCCGAAGCCCAGCCAGTCGTACTCCATCTGCGGGCAGCCGCGGAGAGCCGCGCCGACCTTGGGCCGCCCTCCCTCAGGCGCTCCCCGCCCTCCCTCCGTCCGTCCCGCCCCGGGGCCGCCTCCCGGAGGTCCCGCCCGCCGCCCGTGACGGCGCCCGGGTCGGGCCCGGGCAGGGCCCACAGCGGCGCCAGCGCGGTGCCGATGCTGCCTCGGCTCCAGGAGGATTTGGTTGTTTGACTGCGCATCAGTAACACAGTTGGAAAGTCAGAAATGAGGCAGAAAGCAGCCACCTCCCCTTTTCTTCCCAGGCTCGCCATCGCCCCGCACTGCCGGGGGTGGGAATGGAGGTTGCGGTCGGTCCGTGGCGCCTTTTCCGCGCTGCTGCTCCCTCCGCGCACTCTGCGGTGCCCCAGCGTGGGCTCCCTCCCTCGGGAGACAGCTCTGCACAGCCTGCCACAGCGCAGGTCCTTCCATGGGGGGCAGTCCTTCGGGAACAGGCTGCTCCAGCGTGGATCTTCTGCCCGCACGCTTGCTCCGGGCTGGGCTCCAGCTTCGGCTTCCCGGGGCACGTCCACCTGCCGCAGTGTGGGAGCCTCCTTGGGCCGCAGGAGCGTCTCTGCTCCGTGGGCTGCACCACGGGCTGCAGGGGAACCTCCGCTCCTGCACCTGGAACACCTCCCGTCCTCCTTCTTCGCTGACCTTGCTGTCTCCTGGGATGTTCCTCCCAAAAGGTTCTCATTCCTCTCTCCAGCTGCTGGTGATGTTGGGTGAAATAAATGGGCAGGAGATCTTTCTCCTTTTTAATGCCTTTATTAAGAAGAATCAGCTCAGGTGGGGAGAAATCGACGGGTTGCGCCCTCGCCGCCGTTGCTCCCAGGCGTGGCACGAAGGAGGAGGACGATGCAGTTTTGTCCGCTGGTCTGCAGACAGAACTGGGGACTCTGTCCTCACGGGAGAGTCGTTGAGTCCTTGGTTTGTTTGTTTACAAACCCGGGAGGTCTCTTTAATCAGTTTCTTTTCAGGTTAGGGTGAGAAATAAAAAGATTCAAGCAGGTACGGGACAATGCTCCCATCCTTAGACGTCACTTTAAGTCACTTTGTTGGCTCATGATTTTAGGGGTTTTTCTTATAAAAACTGTAAAACTAAAAATCCAGGGTGCACTGCGTTTCTTATTTGCATGCTGTCTCTGGTGTCACTGCCCATCTCTTTACCCTGGAGGGTTTCCCTTGGTATCTTCTTGGCATGCGGCTAGCATCAGGGAAACAATCAGTTAATCACCTGCCATTAACAGGTACTTGAAAAAGCTTTCCTTCAGCATCGAACTTAAAGGAGGCTGACTCGGTCTGGCTTGGTTTTTTTAACTCTGAAACTAAAAAAAATTACAATTTTCTATTCATAACATTGGGCAGTAAATTCTTTCCGCTTCTAAAATGCCTTATCACAGAGGTGCCACCACTGTCTCATGAGTTCAGCCTTGGCCAGCAGCAGGTCTGTCCTGGAGCTGGCTGACTCTGCCCAACATGAGGGTAGGTCCTGGTGTCTCCTCTCAGAAGCCCGCCTTGCCCTGGAAGCCAATGGAGATCTCAAAAAAAGGCATCCGGATTCCTCAGCAGCTCTGCTGAGGATGCCACACACAAGCGGAGCGATGGTGGTGTTGTGCTAACAGGGCACAATCCCCAGCCCCAGGTGGGGCAGCCTGCCCAGCACTGCACTGGGTGCAGGCCTTTGTGCTGAAGGCAGGCTTGCTAACTGGTGCAGGTGCTAATTCACTCACTGAGACAGGTATTTCCATTGATCATTCTAGTTTGCACAAAGTACAGAGTTTGGTACACTCACTCATCGTCAATACTTTAAACTATTTATACATTTTAACAAACTAAGGCAGAAGCATTCATTGGTAACAGAACTTTTCTATAATTGGTACTTGACCCCCCCCCCCGTCTTACTTGCTAGTTTTATCTCTTGCTTCTCATGCTA